AGAGAGAGAGAGAGAGAGAGAGAGAGAGAGAGAGAGAGAGAGACAGAAGGAGTACGTATACGCTATTCTCCGCACTCCGCGCAAGGCGCATGTTACACGGCGAGAGAACCGGAACGATGGTGCGCTTATTTCCTACGTTATTCGGCGAAACGTAAAGCGGAAATTAAAGCCGATAGACCGGCTAATGGTGCGGCCGGATAATTATGTTCGTTTCGCGTCTCCCTTTCGTGGGCCCGCCGCGCGAGAACTTATTTGCATATCGGCCGAGTTAAATCGTTGCAGCGTGAATTATGTATCCAACGTGTATTTTTGGTCGGCGGAATAGCGCCGCAGCGGCGAACGACGCGGCGGGCAATGTGAACGGAGAAGAGGACAGTGGTAGAAGCAGGCGGACGGGGGGTGGATTGTATCGGGTGCGACGCGGTTCATTTCGCGGCGATACGCGATAATTTACGCGGAAAATTATTCGCGAGGTCAAAACTGTTGTTACTAGGTAATCGTGTTGATCGTGTAAATATTTAAGTTACGACATCGTGTGGTGTTGTGCCGCGCACGTTACGCAGCGCCGACGTAATCGCGAATTAACTCACGGAACGACGCGTGAGACGACGTTGTGTCTCTCCTCCGGTTATGTCTCGCTGCGGAAGATCGAGAATTGTCGTTCCGCGACGAGATGTTGCTCTTGGAAGCGCGATTCACCCCGGATCGATAACGCGGGCGCGAAACCGCCGCTTCTCCTTTTGATAGCCAGTGCGCGATACACTCTCACAGCTCAACGTTCTTCTTCTTTCTTTTTCTCTCTCTTGCTGGCGCGTGTGCATCGCGATTTTCCGCTTCGAGGGTGTTGCACAGAAGCGTCGAAACTTCCGCGGGGCCAATTAAAAATAATTGAATGCAAAATCCGCTTTAATTCGCCAACTTTCAGACGGCTTATGATAGCGGCTTGTAATTATGTTCTCGCGAGCTATACGTGCGAAGCTCGGAAACCCCTCCGCTCCCTCCCCGCTGTGCTAAAAGCAACCGGCTCTGTATCTCTCTTGCATTTTTAGTACCGTGCCTTTATATTTTTACGACAAGTATGCATCACTCGGCCATGACGGAGATACGGCGAAAGATACGGGTATGTCGTGTTATGTGTTGAGCTTTTACGCCAGAAGGTAGTCAGGGATGAGAGGAGGTGAGAGGACGCGGGCGAGAAAAGCGACTCCCCGGGAAAAAGCGAAGTGCTCGTACCGCGATTTATTGTAATCACCACTAAAACACGGTATGCGCAACAATTTGTAGTGACGTTTAGCGATGCGGATTCAGTGTTCGTCGATCGTCGTCGTCGCCGTCGTCGTTCACGATACGCGAACAAATACCAGAGCAAGCGAGTGTATAAACGTTACGATTACGCGCACTCTCTCGCACGCCTCGAGTTCTCGACATTAAATGCTTTACGTCTTTTGTGACGAACCGGATAAAAGAGGAAGAGAGGGAGAGAGAGAAAGAGAAAGAGAGAGAAAGAGAGGGGTGAAGAGACACTACCTGGACGTCTTATCGATCATACTGGTGCGTCGTCGGCTCGTAGTCGTTGTTCGTTGTTTGCTGTCGTTCATTTGCTGCGAGAACGCGTGCTCGGTATGCGCCAGTCCAGCACGTAGCCGAGTAGTAACGCATAGTAACGCGGGCGATAAAAATCCCGCGCGGAATACCGCTTCGTGGAAGACGCATGCCGGCAAATGGGGTGCATCACTTGCGCACCATTGCGTGAAGTATTCCAACGACGTTGAATTGCAACGCACGGACGCGTGCGAGCGCGCATAGTAGTTGGTGCTCACGAAAATTGGGTCTCCGTGAATTTAATTGAACGCCAGCCGGCCGCGGTTTTCACGCGCTTGCGAGATGATGGAATTAGAATTGATGCGCGCTCGCGCACCCGCACGACCACCGGTCGCGCGTAAAAAGCGTTCTTCGCCCTCATTCATCGTTCGTCGCAGTTGTCGCGCGTACGATGCCGTTAAGTGCACACACGCTCGGTAAAAAAAAAGACCTCGGGCAAAAAGAAGGATGGATTTTCGATAATTTCGCCGGCGCGCCGACGAAATAGAGGTCCCCGTAGTCGACATTCGACTTTGCCCTCCTCTCGTAAATTCCAGTTTTCGATGAGAATCGCGCTATTCCCCTCCCTTGCTCTTTTTTTCCTGTTTGTTTCGCGCGCGAGGGCACACGCGTTATCACTTCGCCGGGCCGAAGAGCTCGCCTATCGACGTTTTTATTACCGTCGTCATCGTGCATGGCATGCACGCGCGCGCGCGCGTTCACGCGTGTCGCCGCTAATATTCCGCTCGTGCGCGTGTACATGTCGTCGATTTTGATTTCTTCTCTCTCTCTCTCTCTCTCTCTCTCTTTTATGTATATATTTTATATTCCACCGCGTCGGATCGACGGTTTTTCGCCTCGGTTGTCGGTCGATTCGTCGTTATTTTTCGACTCATGGAAGGAGCATGCTTCCAAGCTTGGAAAATTTGTATTCTTTCACAACAAGACGAATATTCGCGCGCGTAGATACAACGCAAAGATTTCCTTGCCACCGCACGGCGAAAAGAACATTGAGTTCTCTCCTCCGCCTCCCTCATACTCTATCCATCTGTCTGTCCGTTAAAAGTATTAATTCCTTTTGTGACAGCGCATTCCGCGCGACGCGTTAAGCAGCTTTCCGCCCTTACAGGAGAGAAGAGTGCAAAAGACGAGAGAAATATCCGATTCAGGGAAGGATAATAAGGTCGCGACACTCCCGATGAGCATCGGCGCTCGCGGAAATGGGGGTGAGTCAATTTCAGGTGCACTCCGCCGACGCCGCAGACTCACGGCTGCGGAGGCACTCGAGTAAAGGCGAAAGAAACCGCGATGACTTTCCGCCAGACCGCAGAGAGACAGCCCGAATCTCCTCTCTGAGAATTTAATAAAAATCCGAGAGCTCCATCCGCGCAGCCGAGCTTGCGCGGGGCTTTTGTGACGCGCGACGCGTCGCTCGCTGTTTCCTAGTCGGAAAACATTATGCGTTTCGGCTCCGTCGCCGCGCTACATCGTCCTTCGATTTCATCCCCCTTTACTTTCCACCCTGCATTTCTCCTCGTTTCTTCCTATTCGGCCTGCGATATTTCGCGGAGACGTTTCCAGCCGGCCTGAATAACTCCCGGACAAATTGCGTTGCCAAACGGCGCTGCGTTGGGCCATTTCGCGGGAATTGAGATATTTGTTATAAATATCAGGGCGATACACGCGTACGCTTTGTTACCACGCTCCACGAATCAATCGCGCGTAACACTGTAGAGATTGAGAAACCGGTGCTATGATGCGAAGAGCTGGTCGGAGTCGTGTAAAAATCACTGCGCGAATTGTCAGTAGTTTTCTGCCGCAGAGCCAACGCTCGGGGACGGGAATCCCGATACGCGAAAACACCGTCTCGACTTTAATAGCTCAAACTGCGCGGAAGTAACGGGAACGCGCGGCGAGAGGAGGAAGAAATCGCAAGGGGTGCGCGTGGCTGCGGGATAAACGCAGCCGAAGGGTGCCGAGTCTGGCTGGCTGACTGACTGACTGCTGGGTTAAATACTTTGCCGCTCCGGTATTCAGCTTCGTTTACCCGACAACGTGGATTTTCCCTTTGGTCCGATTCGCGAATGCATTCCTTTTGCGCCGATTCGCCGAGGGTAAAGCGGCAACGAAGGCGGCGAGGGAGGGCGATTGGGCGGGCGGGCGGACGGTTGGTCGGTCGGTTGGATCGATTGTACCCTTTGGATTTATCCTCCTGAGAGACCGCAGGCGGTGTTATACTTTGTAACTACGGCGCGCAACAACGATGGAACTGCGGAGCTCGGTGAGTTTCGGCTATCTGCCGCCTCTTAAGGAGTTTATTCACTTAAATAAAAAAAGTGCTTAAAATTATACGAAAATTTAACCCAACATTTATGGCAGCAAAATACATTCATAATTGAAGTTTTATGAGATTTATCTGCACCGTTCCTGAGGAATTTAATACTTAATATCGTAATTTTGCACATATAACCTTATGGTAGGAGTAATGCAGGTTTATTATTCCAATAACCTCATAAAAAGTGATATGATTCAAATAAAAAACTGACCGTTATAAATACTACGTGCTAGGAAACGTGATATGGAAAATATAACAGTATTCACTACATCGTTTTTTAAATATATATATTTATACATACATGATGAGTAAACTCCTTAAGTTTCGCGTGGAAACCAACAGAATTTACTCTTGATATCCCGCGGCTCGATCGATCGCGCGAACGAGCGAGGGAGTGAATGAACGGATGCTCTTTGATCTCCTCGTGCGTTATCACTCCCGCGGATCACCCCAACCTGTGAGTGCAAAAAATTGCACATCGAGGAATCGCGTGGAACGAATCGCGGTCGTGACGAAATATCCGCTCTCGATCTATGGAAGAATAGCTGGCCCGACCCGGCCGAGAGAGAACGGCTGGTAAGAGCGAAGTGCGTGACTCCGCGTGCGTGTAATTAATGATGATACTCACGGTGCATTTCAATTGCCACCGACGTCGAGACGGGTTGACTGATATTGTTGTTGGACGCCTGACAGTCGAACACCGCGTGCAGGTCTGCTCTCGACAGCTCTTGCACGACCAAGACATTCCTACGCAGCGACGGAAACTCACCCGGCTCGTCCTTGGAGTCTAAAAGCGTCTCGCCGCGCCACCATCTTACTTTTGGCTCAGGGCGACCTGGAGAAATAAATACGGCTACATGAGATTCGTTCATCAAACTCGCTAGAGTCTGGTTAGGCAACAACGAAGGCGGTATGCGTTCAGTATTCAAACCAATCCAAGATTATAAGAACACTCGTCCGCATGGAAACTTAACGATGTTCTTTTAACCGTATCTTTATTTTTTTAATTTTCAATATATTCATGATGAAAGTAGCTCCAATCAAACGTGATCATCCTGCTCTGACACATTGAAAAACTTGTCTCTAATTAATTATAACTCCCGCTGCACTTAAACTCGTAATACTTCTCCCTGCGAAAAATATCCCGCGTCATATCGGTGACACTATCCGCGCAATATATCGCGCTCTCCGTTATCTTACAACTCTCCACAAACGTTTGCTAGTGGTTCCGTGCATACACACGCCCATTACATACACACGCAACCTCTCCCCCACATCGGTATATTGGCTACGCGGTACGCGTTAATTCATAATTCATAATGGTCGTTGCGTGCGGATAATCCCTCGAGGGTGAATATCCCGTTAAAGTAAGAGCAGAGAGGGAGAGAAAACAACGAGAGTCGTAGGAGAGGGAGGACGATCTGGCAGGCTGGACCGACCTCATTATTTTTTACCGGACCTATTTTCGTTCAGGTGGGACAAGCGGAAAAACGCGAAGGTAGCGGGTCGCTGGACAAGAAGGCGCAGGGAACGGAAAGAGAGAGAGAGAGAGAGAGAACAAGAGGGGGGCAGGAACGGATAGAGGATGCCGAGGGTTGTGGTAGCGAAGAGTATATAACGCACCAGGGGTGTAGTCGCGCGCGCGCGTGCACGTATACTGTCGCGTCCCTCGGGTAGCGGCGTGCGAGGTAATAAAAATAAATTTATTATCGTTATTGCCTTCGCCTTGCCGACACAGCAGCGCATGTGCGCGTGCGAGCGAGCGTGCGCGGCCGGATATTAAAATGTAATAGAATAAAGGGGAGCGCTAAACGAACGTGCTCACATATAGTATATACATACATGCTCGCGCGACACCCCCGATAAAGCAGCCGCGACGCTTCGCCGAAGCGTTTAACGATCGTCGCGGCGATACTTCTTCAATTCCGCTCCGACACGGGGGAGAGATACGCGCGGAAGATAAAGGTTATCGTGGCTAGTATCTGCACGGTGCGATATCCTCTCAGCGGATCGTTAACGACTCTCTTGGCTGATCAGACGCGGAAAGGTATAATAAAGTGGCCGCACAGCACGGAAAAATCGCGTTGAATTCGAGACTGACGAACATTGTGCTCTGAGCGGAACTCCAGACAGATCAGAAGGGACGCAGATAAATCAGAGAGGATCCAGATAGACCAGAGGGGAACTTAAATAAATCAGAGAGGATCCAGATAGATTATAGAGACATCCAGATAGATCGGACCCAAAAACTAGATAGACCAGAGGGGACTCAGATAGACTAGAGAAGACCCAGATAAATAAAAAAGAACACAGTACGTTAATTGTAGAAAACACAGAAACACAGTATAGAAAATTGTACGTTTTGATAGTATTAAAACGTATTAAAACTTTAACCACTGACTATTTATACGCCATTAGATACAGGAAAGCGCTTAAAATTGACAAAAATTAAAGTACAGGTAGAGAACCATGATTGATACAGGTCTGGGTATCCACGAGAGGCAAGATTCTTATATAAAGGTCTATTTGAGAAGCTTTCGTTGCGTGCAAAGTCGAAACGCGGTCGTGTGAAATTTTTATTAGACGCTATCAACGTGGATTATGTAATATGGCGACGTTCAGGCGCAATGAGAACTGGTCCGCGGAATCTATTTGACGCACGGTGGATCCAAAGGATCCGTTTCCATCAGTCGTACCAATTATTCTACGGCTCTCTTTCGCGTCGAGTATTTACGCGAGGACAGCCTCGAAAGAGAGTACTCAGACATATTTCCATTCGACATATTCCTCTGTCTCGCTTTCGCGCTTTTTCCCTCTCATTAAGGAAAGTAGGGCTCACCCCCGGAGACGAGGCACTGCAGTCTCATGTCACCGCCTTCTTCGTAAGGGCCGGCGACCGCCGGGACGGCGTTCCCGTGTTCGTCGATAATGTTCGGCTTGTGCGGTGGCACTGTAACAGAGCAAGGCAAAGAGGGAAATGAAACGTTAGACTCCGTCATTATGATGAGCGTGGTAGGCTCTTCGATGAACACGCTTAACATTAAGTAGAGCGAAGTAATTATCTCAAAGAAACGTGCGCGCGCGTCGAGCTTTCGCAATATGTCGCCGCGATGAAAGAAATTTCGTTGTGCATAAATTTTCTTTACATAATGTAGATACCACCAAGTATTCAGGTATTTACAAGATTTCTATTCTTACCAATTTTTATTTAAGCTGTAAAACAATATTTGCTCTTTAACATGTGAACTCATTTAAATATTCATAAATAGGTCATATTTAAGATTATCTTAAAGATATATTGCTCTATATTCACTGCATAAAGTTATTAAAAAGAAATTATTGATGTTAAAAACATCATTAATGTGTTATTAAAATGTCACTTAACATTGTCATGTTTGCTGATTTATTTACCGTTTAAAGTAAAATAATTTTTTGATCCTCTGAATCAATGCTGACTTGTCACTTTTAAATGCAATAGTTTTAAAACACATTTTCATACACACAATGTAATGTGATTGAACGTGCGTTTGTAAACGTCTTCAAGCACATAGGCGCGGTACCGGTCGTTTCGGGGTGGTTTCTCGAGTCTGACCGCGTCCGACAGCGCTACGCGCTATTCGAGCACAGATAACGAACTTTCCATGTAAGTCGGCGCGCCGTCCGGGGAGGACGTAATTCACGATACTCGTGCCACGAGCACCGCACGAACAGTCGAACAAGCGTGTACAGGTGTTACAGGTAACCGCTGGCAACTTGCACGGCTCGTTCGCAGACGAGTGCCGGCACGGAAGGGTGCGAGTGGGCGCAAGCCGCGGTTTTCACACCGCGTAACGGGAGTGGTTCGGCTGGAAGCCGTTTCAAAGGCCGAAAAATGAAAAAATTGTCGTGATTGTCGTGACAAAATACTCGAATGTTTAACCCTTACAATGCCGAACAACAATTTATCGTTGTTAGCAATATTTGCGAAAAATACCAACGCCGTCATATCGTTGCGCATACGATGCTGCCGGACTATTCATGTCGCGAAAGAACTCTGTCTCAAAACTAATTTTATAAGACGTTGAATGCTTGAAGTTCTCTTCAAAAATGGTATTTTACGCTTAAGTACATTTTTTTCCGGTCGGTACTAAAAAGGTTAAGAACGAATATTCGCGATATTTATTTCGGGCGCGATCTCTCTGTCGTGGTCCTGTATTCGCGTCTTCAAGATCGATTTCGGCTTGGATGTGCTTCTCGATCGAGCAAAGAGTTATTAACGAACAGACGGACGTCTCGAAATAGCCCGCGGCCGAGATACGCATCTTATCGGCAAATTAATAATACGTGCTAATTAACGGTATGCCCTCATGTTCCCTTTCGAGCATGTTCCCGACTTGACGTATTCGGCGGCGGTGGTGAGGAGTCAGCTCTTGTTGTAAGTGAATACGCGCGCACGATCTTTTCGAGATACCTCGGCAACCTGCTATTATGTCAGTGATTCACGCGTCCGCCGAGCGCGCAATAAAGCATTTTGCGTGCAAGGAAACAATGCGCGCCACGTGGTATCAAAAGGGCACGTAAGGAGAGTGGGAGGGTCGCGCCAGGAAACTGGAATCGCGCCGTTCACGTATAGTTCATTCCGACACGCGCGGACGGCTGGTGGAATGGGCGGGTGTATGGTTCGGCTTGTGGAAGCGTGGCGTGTAAACGCCGGCAATTGAATATCGGAAATAGCGGCGTGTCGGGACGTCAGAAGGCGAGCCAGCCAGCCAACCAGCGAGCCAACGAGCGAGCGGCGCGCTGTTTCCTCGAGGATGGGCTGCGAGTCGCGGTTAGGACGTGTCGGATGTTATACGCGCTCGAAACGAAACGCTCGTGGCAGCGCCAGGAAAATTCTCCCGACGATGGCGAGCAACCGAGAATCGCTAACGCAATTCTCATTCCTCCCCCTTGCTTGATGATGGCGGACGCGTCAACGTTGAACGCGGAGGAATCCTCGCTTCGTCTGTCCCGCAGAATAATACGCGGATTTGCAATTAATCAAATTTTCTAATTTAGCCGACGCAGAGTTGCACATCCCCGAGAGGTTTACACGTGCGCGCACGCTCGCTCGCGAACAAGCGTTTGCGCAGCCACTAATTATCGCGTGTAATTAAGAATCGCGTTACAACGCGGCTGCTAAAGTTTATTTGTTCCGTTTTATAATTATCCCCATCCCCTTCCGCGGATCCCTCCCCCCCCCCCC